CATGACCAAACCGGTCCCATTGAGTGTGTTTATAGTCACAGCAGCAGCTGAAGATGTCATTATCACTCTTTTCACTGATTTTGCTTTTGCACATGCCTTCAATACATTCAAAACTCCTTGGATTGCTGGCTTTATCATGTCATTCTATATCATATAGGAAATCACATAAACATAATCTTGTATTAGCTACTAGCTAGGTATGTGCGCGCCTGTGCGTGTGTGTGCGCTTGTGCGTTTGGGTAGATGAATGTATGTACCTCGGGATCTTGGGAAGCGAAGTTGACGGGTGTAGCAACATGGAAGACTAGATCACAGTCTGCTATAGGGGCATCAAACTTGTCCTCTTCAGTTAAATCTGCTCCAAATATTTTCAGCTCTCCCAGATTTTGAAGTGCCACAAGGTGGGATATCTTTTTAGGGTTACCTGCACAAAACACTCAAGTCAAAACTTTGATTCAGAAAAAAAAAAATCACACAATATCATATCTGATTGTGGTGTTATATTTTCTTCTACATATAGAAAATTCCATGGTGCTCGCTATCATGATTACTGTGTGCTATATTTTCTTCAACACATATCCTACCTACCCCCTCTTAATTGAAAGAAAAAGTTGTAATATCTGTGAGTCATACTTCAAGCTGGGCATTATAGTGCTTGATTAAGAATTTTATGTGGTTATCAGATCTGCAGAATTATGAGTTAGCTTTATGACTGTAGTTAAGGAAATGAGGATGGAAGCTGAGATGTCTCCTAATAATGAGGCCCTGCGTCTAGCCTAGTAATACATACTATCTCGGTCTTAAATATAAAATCTAGTTTGTAGCGCAAATCTAAATATAAATTCCAATTTAGGATCCGAGGTAGTAAAATATATAGTGAGAGAGGGAGGAGAGAGAGACCTGGATCTCTAACAGTGGTATTGACGGAATAACCCTTGAGAAGCAAGTGCTTGATGAGAACGGAGGCTACAAAACCAGACCCACCAATGACACACGCCTTCTTCATCATCTTTCCTCTTTATATGAACAGTACACAGCCACACACACAATATTCTCTTCTTTTCTGATATCTCTCTCTCTCTCTCTAAGGAGTAATATCTGATGGATGGATGGTATAGAGTTGAATTTGATGCTTAAATAGAACATATTTCTTAGGTAAGCACGTGATCTGCCTGTGAGGTATGGTGTGAGAGCTACCAACCGTTGAAAGCAGAAACCATTTTTATTTTCATGAAGACAACTGTATCTACCTCTCCTCACTTCATGGGAGCAGATAACGTCAGGTACGGATCCAGATTTTATGAGAATTTTTTTTTTTACAATGTTTTCTAAAGATACCCAAAAAAAAAAAAGAAAAGAAAACAATTTTGTGGCATAGAAAATAATTGTTTGATGTGTGCCAAGAAGGTTATAGAAAGTGCCAATAAGAATGGTAGATCAAATAATATGGAATCCTATAAAAAGAAAAAAGATGAAAATTGAAGGAAAAATTTGTTAAACTACAAAAAAAATAGCAAATTATTGATAGGCAACAAAATTTGCAAATTTCATCATTAAAAAAAATACTGTCACTAATTGATTAACAATGAAAATCTACATGTAAATTGATTGGCAACAAAATAATTTGTTGATTTTTTTTCTTATAATTTGTACGTTTAAAATGGTATGGACATATACAAAGAAAATTGTTAGAATATTATTCCCAAAAAAAAAAAAAAGTTGCTAGAAGCACTTACTAAGGAGAGTAAATCCAACAATATGAAATTATCTTAAAAAGGAGAGAAGAAAATCGAACCTAAAAATTTAGTTAAAGACATGATACAACTACTAACTATATAACCTAAGCATGTGGCTATCGTCCATTCAATTCAAAGTTTAAACCAACCCCATATCTTCACATTTGGGCCCACCCCGTTAGCTGAGTGGGCTGAAGGCTTTTGTGCTGATTGTCTCCCTTTTGTTATGAGCACAAATTTACTGGACTACAGCATCACGTGCGGCTCACTGCTCCTTTAGTTGAAAGAATGCACCGTTGGATGCACACAAATAAAGATCAAATTTTAAACTTCTAATTTTAATCCTTAAAATTTAATCCATTTTAAGGTTTTAGTCCCTAAAAGCGTAACAATATTAAAATTTACTCAAGTATTATAAATGACATTAAAAGTAGTGATATGAATTCACTAAATGGAACCCATTTTGATCTTATATGGGTAACAGGTTAAAAAAACAAGACTTCAAAATATAATATAGAGGGAGATGAATTCTCAAAATGTAGCATACTAAATAGCATCTAAAACAAACAATGAGGAAAAAAACCTGAGGGAAGCTAAAAGCTACATTTTGAGGATTTATTCTTTTTTTTCTGCCTCTTTGATATCCACAAAAGATCTAGCCAGATACTATCTGGTAAGTCTATATCACAACGTTAATGTTGTTTATGACATTTTAATATATTTTAACACTGTTACACTTTAAAGGATTATCATTTTAAGATAAATTAAATTTCATATACTAAAACTATGAGTTTAAAATTTGAGAGATCAAAATTAAAATAGGCCCAAATTTCAAGAACAAAAAATTATATTAACCAATTAAAAAATGAAAATAAAAAATAAATTTATAAATAAAAGTGTCTCCTTTGATCTTTAAAATAATAAAAAGGATTAATAATTATAATATAAATATAATAAATATAATTACATAATATCAAAATACCTCTCCTATTTTTTGAACAAAAAGATATAGGATAAAATAGCATCCAACAATTTAATTTTATTTTTTTTAGTGATTCTAACACTATGATTTTATCTATGGTACATCTAACTCCCTAAACTATAAATAGAGTTAGTAATGTTGACTTGCTCACTGGTTACAGGTCAGCGTGTCACAAGTTGGAGACTTGGCAAGGCTAAAAAGACCCATATTTTAGCGGACTAGCATTTAGCCAACCCGAACCTATTAGGAATGGGTTGGCCTTTTTAGTTTTATTTACATTTTAAATATAGGTTTTTAAATTTCAAAATTAAATTACAAACTTTTAATCTTTTATAGACTAAATTCTAATTATTTTTATATTTTCATATAATTATATAAATAAATTAATCTCAAAACTTGCGTTAACATATAATTTATATAAAAATAATAAATTGATAAATAAGAAATGAAATCAAACTTAAAAAGGTAAAAGTATGATTTTATCCCTAACTTTATTTCTCAAATTGCACTTGCTCCTGATTTTTTTTAGTACTATAATTTTATCTATAATTTTTTGTTATTTTGATGCAATCATAAACATAAACATGTGATATATTAACCACGTGGCATTAGATTTCTTTTAGATATTAACCTTGCAAACACAGAGAGAAGAAGAAATAACCAAAGAACACCAAGTAAACTCAGAATTGAATTAGGATATTCCATCACATGAATATTCAGTTTCTTTCTTTTAGACTTATGTTGGCTTATTTAATCAATTTTGATTAGTTTCCACATCCGTAATGCTCATACAAAATTTTTGAAACTGCAGCGCATGTTCACTAACATTTGAACATGTCAGCAGGGATATGACTTGAACTTTTTTTAAAACTTTTTTTGAATAATTTTTTATACGACTTGATTAAAAATTTTTAGATTATAAGAGTTAATTTAAAATTGAGTGAAATTGCAAGAAGTACATCCCAAATTAATTGTAAGATAAAACTTATTTCTTTTTTCCTCTTTCAAAATTGAATAGAAAGCTGAACTTAATTTACGAGGACGACTTTTCGGGTCCAATAAATTTAAAAGGGAAAATTTTTCCAACTCATATAAATAAATAGAAAGAAGTACTCAAGAAATTATATGAAATAATGATATTATTAAAAGTAACAAGAAGATTAAGGCTATCACTAGCACCTTTTTTAATAGCTTCGTTGACACTTTAACCATGAATAATAATTTTTAAAAATAGTATGGATAACTTTGGGACAAGTTATAATTTGTCAAATTTTTTAAAAATAATCATCATTTCACATATGAATTGTAAAGGCCCTTAATCTATTTTGAACCAAAAGTTACAAGGAGGTGGTTAACCTTATTACTAAGGGTGGTGATGAAAAACATCTTTTTAAACATATCATTGATGATGCTAGATTGATCATACATAGAGATCGGCAGTTTTACCACCGGCCGTTTGGCCGAGTGGTATGTGTGCGTGTGTGTGGGGTGCATGCGTGCGGATTCGATGCCATCCCTTGTAACCGAAAAAAAAAAAGAGATTGGCAGTTTTCTCTGTGACACATTCATCAGGAGAATATTCTTTTTACTGATTACTTAACCAAACACGAACATAGAAAATGTCTTTTATATCCTTAATCAACCATCATCGTATTTACATAAAGTGGACTTTGATGGTGGAAACTAAAATTTGATTGTATTGCTATGTTCTTTACTATGTAAATGAATGACATACATATTTTTATTCCAAAAAAAAAATTGTAAAGCCACCCCCAACCAGGAAAAAAAAGATCTAAAAGTTCTTAGTTTCCGAGAAACAACAGAAAGATTTTTTATTTTTTCAGTCTATGTATATGTATAAACTTTTTTATATATAAAAGAAGGAAAATGTGTCCATGCATGTGATATATATATATATATATATATGAAGTTTGCTTGTTTGGATGGTGATACTGTGGTTTCCTTGTCCAGCGTAGATAAGAATATGAGAAAGGCAAAGAGAGAAGAAAGATGAAGCAGAATAAAGTGAAAATGTGAACTAAACAAAAGCAACTTTTTATATGATATATTAATATCTACAGCTAGCGAATTCGGACCCTCGTTGTATATTATGATATGATATAGTATGCACCAAACCTGCCTCCATATCTTTATTCCTTATTCCTTCTTCCTTTTTTCTTTTTTCTTTATCTAACACTCACACATATATAGAGTTACTTATTATTAAAGTGAAGAGTTGGCAACAAAGCTAATAATAAGCTCACATCTCTTTCTCCTCCTCTCCTTCTTCTTCTTCTTGGGCCTTGTCTGTGTACTTTCTCTTCTGACAGGAAAAATAATGGCAGTTAAAGGCAAAAACTATGGCTTCCTTATCTGCATATTTGTCATCATCGTGGATGTTGTTGCTGGCATTCTTGGAATTCAAGCAGAAATTGCTCAGAGCAAGGTACACAAACTCTCAAACTTCCTAGATATACATCCTGATCTTTTGTCGTTTATTATATGAACAGTGATATGATATGATCTACTCTTCCGGTCTTTAATATAGGAACCAATTATTGAGTTAGTTTTGGTCCTAAATATAAAATCCATTTCTCATATTTATCAATTTTCTCTAAATTACCCCTATGGATATTCCCTCAAACATAATCAAGTAGAAGAGAAAAATGGGGTATTAAGAAAGATGATTATGGTATTTTAGGAAAAATGTGTCATTTTTCTTATAATTAACTAATTTATCTAACTTCTTTAATCTAATCAAATTAATTAAATGAGTCTTATATTAAGGACCGGAAGAATATTTAGCCGACTTTGATTAGTTAATGGGATAAATCTTGTTATCGCTATACTCATATACGAATAGTTAGTTTTTCGTAGTATGATAAAGTTATGTGAACTATATATGTAATCAACTTCATTTTGTAAGATAAGAATTGTAATGTTTTTAACGAACGATACTAAACAGATAAGATGTGCAAGGATGTTGGTAATAGAGTGTAGAGATCCAACAGTGACATGATATGATCTATTTAGCAGACTTTGATTAGTTAATGGGATAAAACTTGTTATTGCTATACTGATATACTAATAGTTAGTTTTCCGTAGAATGATAAAATTATGTCAATTATATATGCAATCAACTTCACTTTGTAAGATAAGAATCACAATATTTTGATATAACGAATGATACTAAATAGGTAAAGCATGTAAGGATGTCAGTAGTAGAGTGTAGAGATCCAAGTATGAAAGCCTTCCAACTAGGGTTGGCTGCAGCAATTCTGTTGGGTGTTGCTCATCTTATTGCAAACTTGCTGGGTGGCTGCATTTGTATTTGGAACAGACAGCAGTATATGAGAGCCTCTGCCAACAAGCAATTAGGAATGGCTTTCCTCATTTTCTCATGGTATTAACCTTCACATCCCCTTTTAATTTCATTTTTTTTCTTGCTTTTAAATTTATTTTTAAGGTTTTCACAATGCATCCTTTAAAAACTTTTATTTTTCTTGCACTCCGTTTGATCCTGTATATAAGATACTTCTAACTATTTCAACATAACCACACAAAAAATAGTTAAATCTAATTCAAAATTTAAAATAAAATTTTAAATTTACCCTATTTAAAAGCAGGGATTTAAAAAGGGCAAATTTTTGAAAGTTGTAAGCAATGGTTTTTTGGGGAAAAAATAATTAATACTCCACTTTTTTATGCAAAGCAACTGATACATAGGACTATCAATTTGTTTTCCTTTCAGAATGCGACTATTATATATAGGAATGAATAAGAGAATAAAATTGGAATAGTGTAATTAATTTTTTATTTTTTATGTAAAGTGACTCATAGAAACAGCCAATTAATTTCTTGTAAAAGACGATTTATACATAGAATGGGCCAGAATTAACCCAATATTTGGTATGAAAACGGAGAGGGAAGGATTAGGAAAATTTTACAAAAAATGATAAAAATAGAAGGTGAAAATTACTAAATTTCAAAGAAAGTTTGATGATAACACTTTATTTAGTATTAACAATACTGAATTTACAAATAATAATAACTTTTTTTTGACATTTTTTTTACATTTATTAATTTCTAACTTTTTTGGGTCATTTTTCCAAAATTTTAACAAGTTTAATTTGAAAAAAAAAATAGGGAAGTGAGATTATGAAATTTCAATAAAAAGAAAATGTAATATAAAAGATTGAAAAATGTTTCACTTTCATTCACTTCTTCAATTTTTTTAAATCGAATTTATTAAGATTCTTCCTCCCCTCGTTTCTCCTTCATTCCATTTTTTTGTACCAAAAAGACTGTTAAGTGGAGATGCATGAACGCAGGGTGACAATGGGAGTGGCATTGTCAATTCTGATAATGGGGACATTGGCAAACTCAGAGACAAGATCAAGAGCACAATGTACCATCTCAACTCATCGTTTCTTGTCCATTGGCGGCATCTTGTGTTTCGTCCATGGCCTCTTCACCGTTTCCTATTATGTCTCCGCCGCCGCCGCCGCCAGAGAAGATCAAAGACTACCAGCCACAACAACAAACCGCTAGATATATATACACACACGCACACACACTCATCATACATATATACACGCACACATACTCCAACCTCTTGTATGTACTATATGTATTCTGCTTCATAGTTCATGACTTTTCCATTGTAAAATTAATTCACATTTTCATCTCAAATATTACTTCAACTTTTTCCCTCCCCTGTTCTACTGCCAACAAGGCAAGAATTTATAGCCCCGTGCAAAGATAGTTTGATAGATACCGTTGATCTTTTTTTTTTAACAATAATTCAAACTGCCTTCTTCCACATATCTGTTACAACTGCACTACACTAGCTGTTGATTTCCTCAATTACAAGCAAAAACCAATTCAATGCACGAAATCTTCTGCATCAAACAATGCATTTAGCCCTCAACTTTTGATCCGATGGCCATTTTCTTCGACAAGAGCATGTTGTGAATGTTCGGCAAAACGCCGCCGTTGGAGATCGTCACTTTCGTCAGCAACCTGCTCAGCTCATCGTCGTTCCTCACCGCCAATTGAATGTGCCGAGGAACAATCCGAGTCTTCTTGTTGTCTCTTGCCGCATTCCCAGCCAATTCCAACACCTGCATTGCATTTTATCCATGATCAACATTCACTGTGTTTCCAAATTAACGAAGCGAGATCTATGAATTCTGAGATTTTGAAGATTGGATTCCGTTTTAGAAGTGTTGTTTCTGAGGAATGAAACTGACCTCGGCGGAGAGATATTCCAAGATGGCGGCGAGGTAGACTGGAGCTCCGACACCGAGACGGTCGGAGTATTTCCCGGACTTCAAGAAGCGGGCGATCCGACCCACGGGGAATTGAAGACCTGCTTTACTGCTCCGAGAGACGCCTTTCTTGCCGGTGCGAGCACTGAGAGATTTTCCTCTGCCGGCCATTTTTGTCACAGAAGGAAGAAGGGTTTAGGCTTTTAGTTCTGAAGACGGTTCAAGCGTCGACGACGATTCTTGGGATGGCGGAGTCCGATGATTCCGTTCGGTTTTATATAACGACGTGGGAGGAGGATGTTGGGCCAATTAGGAAACGTCACACGGATCGTAATCTTAAACCGTTGATTGGTGAGTGATTGTACGGTCAGATATTAGGATTCCATTTGTCCTCAGCAAGCCAGCATAAGCTTACTCTAAGAGTGAATAATAAACATTTATGACTATTAAATACATTTAATAAATACTAGCTCTGATATTTAATATAAAAACTAGATAATTAATTTTTAAACATTAAGAAATTTAGTTAAGTTAATAATTTGTAATAAATTGGTATTTTTTTTCTAAAATATTCTTATTAATTCTATGCATTAAAACTATCACTTAATGAAAATTCTTTAACATGATAGAGATTACATGAGGGCAAAACAAATAAATATTGAAGACAAAAAGAATTGGAGTTTGATATTTAGAATCAAACTAAATCTTCAAATAAATCTTATATTAAGAGTCAAAAATAATATATGTAAAATAATATATGTGTATGTATGAGTTCTCAAAAGAACTTCATTAGTTGTTAATTCTAATATGATGGTTGTTCTTAATGAAAGATTAATAAATTTATTGGGTGTATCAGGGAGGGAGAGCATCATTGTGGGATGAAGCCTTTTATTAATCTTCTTCTGTTCTCTGCTACGAAGTCAATTATATATAGCTTGTCTTACAATTAAAATTTGTTTTGGATAGCATGATTTAAATTGAGTCATTTAATTATGAATTATCTGAAGTTGAATCAAAATTGAATAACATATTTCATTTCATGCCCATTCAACTGTATTGTATTGTAAATTCATAATTTTTCATTTTTTTTAATTTTATTTATAAGTCATTTTCAATATGTTTCACAGAGGAAAAAAACCGTAGATTTCATTAATTTTTATTTAAAATTTAACTACTTTTTAACTTTATCCATATTTAACATACATTATATCTTATAAAAACAAAGTCAATATAATATTAAATAAAAGATAAAATTATATATACATATGAAAATTTTCGCTCTCTACCCTATAAATATAACAAAAAATTTTCTTTTCTCCCTATCATATAAAAAGCACCAATAATTGTAATGTATCTCATACAAAATTTTTTGTGTGTGCTTGACTAAAATTCAAATAGAAAAATATATAATTAAATTGGTGATAAAAACTTACATTAACTTCACATGCTAATTGCCGCTCATAAGAACCCTCAATTTCGTCACAACGCTTGTGATCTAATGGCTAATCCGTTGTGCAATTGAATTAATTAAGGTTAAGTACCTCTAAATGCAAAATACAGGATCTTAAAGGAGCGAAATGCAAATAATGAGCAGGCGATAAAATTTTCCTCATTTGATTTTCCTTGAAATAGCATCCAATTCACAAACTGTCTGACGCAAAGCATACACAAACCATAGAGGAGAAGAAAAGGAGCATGGAATTTTATTAGTAATTATTTATAATTATTAACCAAGCTTGGAAAGAACATCGTTCAGGGTAGATACTGTCTCTGCGTAATACTTCTCTGCCTCTGGTGTGCTCTTAATTTTTGCAGCATGATCCAACTGTTAATCAATTAAAAAGAAAAAAAAAATATTAATTCAATCATTAAAAAAAATAAATACGTAAGCTTAAATGCTTTATAGAATAATAGAACATTTGTCTAACATATTGCAGAAATTTGAGAGAATCAATTTGCAAAATAAATTATTTACCTATGCTTAAAACAAAAAGTGTTTTTTTATTAATTATTATTTTATTTTTTAAAGTATTTGATTTTTAAAGAAATTAAACATTGTTAAAATATTTCACATGTTAATTGAAAAACTGTTTTAAGTTAAAAAAATAAAAAAATTTCAAAATATGAAGGAAAAATAAGTGAAAAGTTTCTGCTTGACAATTTTATTAGTTAGAAGAATCTGAATTCGAGTACCGGTTGAAATTCTTCATGGCACCAATATTTTTGAGTATAAAAACATATTAACTCTTTCTAAACTATAAAATTTTCAAACATAGATGTTTAACTAATTTTCTTAAATATAAATCACTCAATCAGATATGACACAATACATATACTTTCTTTCATACAACATTATATACATTACATTATCCTTTATAGCTTTAACTGGAATTTTTTACTTGGAATAAAAATAACATAAAGGTAGAAATATAACTTTTCAATTACTAATTAAAAAAATCACATTTCAAATTAAAAATTGATAGGAACTTGTTAAAACACAATATATATGAATTGGGAAATATTAATTAGTATGATGAAAAAAGTAAAAAAAATTGTTGAGATTACTCTAAAGCATATAATTAAATTTGAAGGGACATATAAGTTTGATGTTAAAACTTGAAGATAATGAAATGAACTTACATTGCTGATGGTCTGGAAGAGCTTGCCGGTGAGTTCCTTGAGCGACTTCTTCTGGTCCTTAGGCTTAGCAGAGATAACAGTGTTGAGATCATAGCGAAGGTACTCTGCTCTCAAACGCAGATCGTTCTGAACGTACGGCCATGCCTTCTTGTCGATCAGTCCCTTCACGTTCAGTATCTCCTTCGCCGATTCCTTCGCCCTCAGCGCCGCCTCGCTCGGCCCCAATGGCTGCAGGAAGAACCTGTCCTTCAATGGTAACTGCAGATCCCTTGGCTCATCGGAGTTCAGTGTACCAGCTGCCACATTCCATGAGATTTGACCCTTAGATTCTGAAAACGATCTAATGGGTATGGAAGTTTCGGAAGGAATGATTCGAAATACTTACGCAGACCACCGGACGGCGGGGGAGGAGGGCCAACTTTGATGGTCTTGGCGTCAGCAAGGACGGCCTGAACGAAAGACCCAGTGGCCAGACCGGCGGCGACGAGTCCGAGCACGGCACGGCGGCTTGTCTCGGGCTCAGATTGGCCTTGCTGGGCTCTGACAACGAGCCCAGGACGGATCAATGAGAGAGTCCTTCCGTTGCCGGAGGCGTTCAAGCGAGAGCTACCCTCGAACACGGGTTGAGAGGAAGAACGTAAGCCAGCCATTGAAGACGATGCCATAGCTTGAGCCATTAGGATTGAAGCTTGTTGTGATTCGTGTGAAGTGCTTCAGTGAAGTGACAGAATGGGAATATAATTTTGTGGACGATGATGATGACGGGGACGAAGACGACGATATGTATTTTGGGGTTTCTTTGTGAGTGAAGCGAGTGATTCAGAGGCGTTCAATCAAACACCTTATCTGCGATTTTGAAGTTGGATAAGCTGGATATGGTGTTTGGCCAATCAGGGCAGAGGATGATTGGCGAGGAAGGAGACGAGCTGGATTATGTTTCCACGTGGCTTCCTAGCTCCCGACACGTGTAATGACCTGTTATAAGTCCATAGCCAAGATCCGTTACCTATTGTTGTTTTTATTTATAAAATATTTGTTAAAAAGGAGAATTACAATAAATTTTCAAAAAAAAATTATTAAAAAATCCTAATAACAATTGAAACAGCCTGTAATGACAAGTTTCAGAATAAGAAATAACAATTTTTAGAACTTGTTTTGTAATTATTTTCTTTTTGTGGAATCTCATTACAATTTTCTCTTGTTAAAATTTTAAAAAAGTGAGTCTAATTTTAAAAATTTCAAAATTTGCCCCTAAATAAGTAAATAAATAAAAAAGAGCCCTCAACCCTCGTCGCCCAACTGTCGCTGGCAATTAAAGTTCTGGCATTGTTCCAAGAAATTTACTGCATTAGAAGTGTGAAATTCATCAAAAAAATATTGCAAATTGCTAGTGTGAAATGGTGAAACTCACTTTGGGAGTGTTTGGAAGCCCTTAAAACCATGCATTAGAAGTGTGAATTTCACCTCTGGTGTTGTGATGAATTCCCAGAAATATATCCTTTTACTTTGATTGTCAAGTGTAAAATTCATATAAAGGTGTTGTAAATTGCTACCATGGAATGATGATGCTCGCTTTCTAAGCGCAGTAAATTCTACCACCTCTGCTATAGTAAATTCCCTGAAATGTGTTCTTTTACTTTGATTTTCCCAGTGTGTAATTGGTAAAAAGGTTTTGTAAACAGAATTTTTTATTTTAATGGTTATTTTATATATATTTGTATTATTTTAACAAAATAGTTACTTTTTTTTTTCCTGGTGCCCATTTTGTAAGGGCTTTTAAATTAATGTTTTAATCAGTAGTCATGATTACTGATAAGAACTACTTATTAAATTCATT